ATAGGCCTGTACATACCTCAAATAAACAAAAGTGTATTTGCTGATAGTTGAACCAAATATAGCTGTACCTTCAGGGCACTATGATTTCAAAGACTAATTTCTAATAATAGAGTGCTTCTGAGGCCGTCCATTAGGTTTGGTATTATCATTATCAATAATTTCTAATGATTTATTATTAAGATGATCAGTCTTTAAAGGTCTAATTCTGGCAAATAAAATCCTGCTCAACCATGGAACATCTCAGACAAATAATGGAGCACTCAAGGAGTAACCCTGCTGAGGTGACGGTGCATGGTGAGGAGGGTAGGCTTTCGGGTAGGGCTGCGGGTTTGGCATTTGCAGCTCTGCTTTGCCTCTTGCCACTTCTATAGGCTTAGGTCTCTTTTGTGTGTGTGTGTGGAGAGCTTTTTGCTATAGGGCACATGTGCTCGCCAGAGAGACCCAGAGGGACAGAGAGAAACAGAGAGACAGAAAGTGAGAAATCACCCCCTGGGGGGAATGGCCACACCACAGTCCCTTCTCCTCCACTCTCCTCTTGGGATCTTGGGCACACACACACACACACGTCCGGTATGAGTTTAAGCCACTGGGTCCAGGACTTGAACCGCAGTCGACTACATGGGAGTTTAGCAACATAGCCATTATGCTAACTGCTGGTCCCAGGCTTAGGTTTCTTATCTAACCTCTCAGGTGCCTTGGCTTCCTCACCTTTCTCACCTATGCAATGGGGGCTAAGGACAATATGTTTAAAGCTCTGAGAAAAAAGTGTGCTTAGGAAATGCCTGCTGCTTCTTAAATGAGGGGAAGTTAATTTAAAAAAAAAAAAAAAAAAAAGCCCTAACTTTTTTTGTCTTGTAAGGACACCTTTTTCTAATCATTCTTCTATAGGTGTTGCCCATGCTGGTCCTTCTCCCTGGACCTGGATGAGGTAATTTCCTGTGATCAATGGTGAGAGATTATACTTCAGATTATATTGTGTTTTTTGTAATTTACAGTATTAAGATCCTACATGAGATCTTCAAAATGTCTATGAAACATGCATATGATGAAAAATGTATGCAAGATTACAAAAATTTTTGTGTACCAAAATAAACATCAATTCCATTTCCCACGAACTTTTTGAAATCCCTCATACTGGACAACGGAAGCATTTGCTTAACTATATCATTTTTGCCCATGATTATCACTGTCTAGAATTACACTTTAAACTCCCAAATAGAAATAAATCTATCGACTCCCATTTTTTTCAGCAAATAAATTATAATGAATTTAAGAGGGAGAGGAGTGAAATGTGATTATAACAGAAATGCAATGTAAAAGATTTATCAATCAGCTACAATATGTAAAGCTGTTTTGGATCTTGATTAGAACACTATGTAAAACACTATTTTTGGGGGTTCAACAGGGGAAACATGAATACTTGTGGGAAACTGATAATGTTAAGGAAATATCAATTTGTCTGACAGGACTATTTTTTTTTTTTTGAGAGGTTTTTGCTATAGGACGCGTGAGTTTGTCAGAAAGACAGAGAGAGACAGAGAGATAGAAAGCGAGAAATCACCCCCCAGGGGGGATGGCCACGCTGCAATCCTTTCTCCTCCATTCTCCTCTCGGGATCTTGGGCACACATGCACACGCTCCTGGTGTGAGCTTAAGACACTGGATCTGGGATTCTAATCTGCGTCTACTGCAAGGGAGTCCAACCACATAGCCATTATGCCAACTGCTGGTCCCCAGATAGGGATATCTTTACAGTTTCATTTTTTTTCCTTTCTTTCCTTTTTAAAGAGAAATACCCTCAGATACTTACATTTAAAATATTTATATTTGACATCTGCATTTGAATCAGGCAGAGGTCTGCCTCAAAATAATCTAAGGGCAAAGAAGACAGTACTGAAAAGCGACACAGTTAAAGCAATATGAGCCATGAGCTGATCACTGCTGAAGCTGGTGGTGGGTATAGGAGGTCCTTACACTGTTCTCCTATTTTAAATGTCTGAAATTTTCTAAATTAAAAATGTTGAAACAATACATAATGATTTTTTAGAAGTTATTGTTTTCTTAAGAATTATTTTTGATTTAACTTTATTTAATTTGGTCAGAGAGGGACAGAGTAAGAGAGAAAGAGAGAGAAGGAAAGTGAGAAAGGAAGGGATCGAACCACTGTTGGCCATGTGGGAGTCCAGCACCCTTAACCACCATGCCAATTGCTGGCCCCAACACATGGTGATTTAAAAACCAGATACAGGAAGAAAAAAACACCAAAATGCCTCAACATCATATTATACATTTAAAATACTCTTTTCTGATACTTGTAGCTACACCAGGTGGAAGAAGAAAGCGAGACGGGTTCCATTCCTGAGATGAAGCAAAAGACAGAGCAAAGTGAAGGGGTCCTAGAGGCCGAGTCACCTGTGTCAGCTCAGAAACAAGAATCAAATCTTCAGACTGGCATATCCTCTTGCCTCTTCACAAAGAGCAGGGAACACTGACCTGTGTTACTCATAACAAGGCTTTGAACACTGCCTAAAAGAAATCAATCACTGTGCTGCCTGAAGGCTCAGACATGACAGGAAAATAAATGAGAAATTGCTCCAAACACCTGGTAAGACTACATTGTGATTCTTATGCATGTTTTTCCAATCACCTTTATGATGACTGTGAGTTTGAGAGGTGAGAGCCACAGATGGCCAAACTCAGAAAGCAAAAGCAATGGAGAGGGATGCCAGGAAGTGGTGTGGTGGTTGAGGCACTGGACTCCTACATGGCTGAATGCGGTTCAAGTCCCTCTTGCTTTCTCACGTTCCCTCTTTTCTCTCTCTATGGCAAGCACATGTGCCCTACAACAAATTAAATAACATGTGTGTGTGTGTGTGTGTGTGTGTGTGTGTGTGTGTGTGTAAAGAAGTGTAGTTGGGAAAGGAGAGGGAGGAGGCATGGGAATAGGAAGGAAGGAGGAGAGAGCAGTGAGGGGGAAAAGAGAGGAGAGGGAGATAGTGAAGAGGAGAAGAGGGAGAGGAAAAAGAGAAAGAAAGGGAACAGAGGGAGGCAGGCAGGTCTGGCTGCCCAACTATACTACAGGTCATGAAAAAGGCCCAGCTTCTGGCCTGAACTTAGGGACCATGGAGACAATGCTTTGGGGTTCCTGTGCCCAGGTTATTTTCCTACTCTTGTCAAGCAAATACAACTAAAATAAGGGAAATAAATACTTAAATAGAATGCTCTGGAAAATTTTTAAATGTTTATTTTAAAAAAAAGAAAACCTCAGAAATAAAGCTAACATTAATCCTAAAATAATACGATCTTAACGTTAACGCAACTTAACATTAGTGGTAAAGGGGAATCTGTTTTTCTGAAAAATTCTGACTTAATAGGAATGCACAAGAGTGACCTAATTTCTCCCTTTTATATTCCATATTGTTTGTCAAATATAGTAGAGAGATTACACATTGTTCAGACAATGTTCTTAAGATTTTGTTAAACTAAGTTACTCATCAACCAAACATGCTTCAATATATGAGCCAATGTTATCTCTAAATAATCTTTCACATTTCTAAAGCAAGTGCTAAACTTTCATGTGGATCCATTTTTTCATGCCTTTAACTTCCCCTTTCAGTAGTGCTGATTTGAGAAGGGGATAAGGTCTTCTAACACACCGATACATTTCCTCCAACACGGTATAAAGTAGATTTTGAAATGGTATTACCACTGTTCCTGCACATCTCATAAACACTGTCCTTGCTGCACGGAAACACCACCACCTTCTAAATATCTCCACCTTCTAAACTCTAGGGATTTCAGTTCACTGTCAGGAAATAAAAACTATATTTAAAATGTGATGACTGACATATAAATTAACTTGCCAAAGATTTTTTGGTTTTGCACATATTTTCTAGAAAAGGAAATCTATTTTCCCAGAAAAAAACCTCCAAGATAATTTTGTGATTATAAAACCGAATACATGGCTCATTATTTCTTAACGTTATTAGCATTTATTTCAATAAGTTTTTTTTTAAGCATAGTACAGTTGGGTCATTATGTGTGACTCAATTTTAATTCTCAACCTAAACCCAAGATTTTAATTTAAAAGATAGTGTGTTTCATGATCAACTTCAAAACAAATATAAAAAATATCTACGGCAATAATTTTCTTAAACATTGAAGGCTTAACATAGGATAACGGCTACAGGTTAGACTCAGAGAACTGAGAAAGAAAAACATATATGAAAATACCGTAACAGGGACCAGCAGTTGGCATAATGGCTATGTCACTGAACTCCCATGTAGCCGACCATGGTTTGAGTCCCGGACCCAGTGGCTTAAACTCACGCCGGGCGTGTGTGCGTGCATGCCCAAGATCCCAAGAGGAGAACGGAGGAGAAGGAACTGCAGCGTGACCATCCCCCCTGGGGGGTGATTTCTCGTTTTCTTTCTCTCTGTCTCTCTCTGTCTTTCCGGCGAGTGCATGCGCCCTATAGCAAAAACCTCTCAAAAAAAAAAAGAAAAAAAAAATATATATATAGTCACATAACTGAGACTTCAATGAGAAAGGCTTCAAGCTTTTGCTTATCTCTTGATACCACTTGATCCAGACAGAATAAGAACAATGTAACTGTTTACTGAAAATTTAAAGGATACAATATGTTGACCTTAATAAGCAAATAAACTCTAGGATCTACAGAAACTAGCCATAACGTCCTTATATTACAAAAATAACAAATAACAGATGTTATCAATGGTGTACTTCTGCTTAATGTCAATAATCACAATTCTAAAGCCCTTTTGAGTTCTTCCAAAGAACTTCATGCATCGTCCCATCTAACCCTTATAGATACAACCAGGGAGTAGACAGCTTAGAAACTCCCAGAGTTATAGAGCAGAGGAAAGGTAGGCTATTGGAGTAAAAGTGTACCAGGTCATACATCTTAAAAGTTTGACGATCACAAATATCCATCATTCTAACATTACAAAATTCAAGTCGTATCTCCATGTGAAGTTACCTGATGGGCCGATTCTCTTTACTGTCAAAGAGGGAGAAGATCACCTCCAGCTCCTCTCCCAGGTTGGAACACATGAGGCTCTTCATCTGGACAAAGAGGTGGTGACTGCTAGCCTGCACTGGGGTGTCTTTCTTCCGATGTCGATGTTCCATCTGAATGACACACACCCCCCCAATGAAAACACAATCAGCATGGATTCAGTATTAATTGGATATTAAATTTCAAGTTTTCTTCTAACTTTTAAAGTAAGAAACTATGGAGTTTACAGATCATCGAGAATTCTTGCTCAACTTTTTTTTTTCAATTGTTACAGTTAAAATGATACGAACTCACTGAGTAGATTCAGGGAGCATGAAGTTGCTCCTTATCAATTCCCAGGATAAGAACAAATTATTAGTCATCTTAAAAAGAAAAAAAAAAACAAAACACTAAATATCTCATGGATCCTTGCATTGATGGTAGCTGAACAATGGAGCTATAACTTCTCATGTCTCATAATTAAAAGTTCCTTTAAATTACTCTAAATGGCATAATCATGGGAATTTTCTTAAATAGGCTATGAAAAATGATACTCTGTCACTAGAATAAGAAAATGTTTCCAACTTGCTCTGGAGCTATAGGGAGATAAATCAAGGAAAGCCAGTGAGATATCCAGAGATTTAAATAGCAACTGTGTCCACTTCTCAGCCTGTCCTCAGTAGAGTCAGCCAAGACTACACCATGGAGGAAGGACCAGAACTGAGAGTTCCCATAGGCTGAAGGGGGAAGATCATTCACCATGGGGATGATCATTCACTTAACGTAGCCTGTGCTATGTGTCAAGCACTGGAACTACAACGATGAGTGAAATCAGACATAGCCTATGCTGTCAGGGAGATAGTATTTCCTAGGGGGTTCCGAAATCAACAAAATTGTCATGTGCACACACACACACACACACACACACACCTGTGGTGTTTTAAGGGGAAGGACCAGATTATGGTACAAGTATAGAAGGAGGATCTGACTTGAGTTTGGACAGTCACAGGAGCTTCCTGAGGAAGTGACACTTCAGTCAAGAGCTAAAAAGGGAACAGGACTTCTCATTCGTTCATTTATGTATTTTTGTCTGAGGAACAAGGTTGTCTCTCCTCTCAATCCATTATAGACTAAAATCTTCATAAAACACAATAAAATCAAGTAAAAATACCACGGTGATACATCAGAATGTTAGAAAGATTTCTAATCATTTACTTGCCATTTTTTACACTTGGACCAGTTACCATGCATTCACAGCCCAGTCAGTTCTTGGATACACTTTGAGACATACTGACTCAGGATAAGAGGACAGGAAAAACACATGGAAAGGCTTATGTACTAACAGAACATGTGTGAATAATGTGGAGAATTATTTGTTTCATAACACAGACTGCAAATGAAGCCACCTCATTTAGATCACTTGACGAGTTTAAACACACACACACACACACACACACACTTCAGGGATTTTAACCACACAGCAATGAAGCCAGAGCCATTGGTTGAGGGGTAAGGTACATAACTCCATTTCTATGTCAGCCATCTTTTTAGTTCGAAGTAGATTCTATGTAGAGCTCAATAACTGCTGAATGACTGACCAGGTCTTGAAGACAAAATGCTACCTAACTTTAACTTGCTGTTACAACAGCATAAAATCAGAATTTTCCTGTGCTTTTAATTTTTATTTTGAACTCCTTAAAAAGTAAAGAGTGAAGAAAATATAACTAACTAAATGCATCTGTAATCACTGTATAGTTAACAAGTATACTAAGCATCTTTTTATAAAAGTGAAGAGTACGGACTTTTTTTTTTTTTTTTTTTTAATGTAGACCTCACAATTGTGGTAGTGTTGGCAATAATTACTAGAAAAAGTTTCCCAGAGAAAAAAATATATTCTCTAGTTGTAGAAAAAAGTGTAATTCTGCCTTGTTTTCTATGAAGTCTGCTCTGTTTTTGCTTTTAAAATTGTTTACTGTGACAAAAGAAGCAACATAAGTTCATAAAACGGTATCTCTTTAACTCATAAAGAAGCTGTTTTCTCTAGTGTTGCTAGCTTACTTACTTAAAATGTTCAGCATCCCTTTACTTGAAAGTGTAACATAGCACAGCCAAATGAATGACTACTAAAGTCCACAACAGGAGAAAGAGATGTAAAAACTTTATGGAATGGAGCCGGCATGTAGTGTGGTGGTTAAAGGCACTGGACTTCCACATGACCAACCATGGTTCAAGTCCTGGACCTAGGAGCTTACTTTCTCATTTTCCCTCACTCTCTCTCTCTCTCTGTCTCTCTCTGGTCAAATTAAAAAAAAATAATAATAAAATTAAGTTAAATAAAATAATTCTTTAAAAAACAAATGTGGGCTGGCAGGTGGCGTGGTGGTTGAGATGCTGGATTCCCACATGGCTGGCCATGGTTTGAGTCCTGGAATCGGTGGCTTGCTTTCTCACTTTCCCTCTCCCTCTCTCTGTCTCTATCTGGGCAAATTAAAACATAATAATGATAATGAATAAAATTAAATAACTCTTTAAAAAAAAAAACTTTACAGAGAGAACAGACCTTAAGGAGGTATCTGTTCTTGATTTTAAACTGCAAACTTCCCAGCATCAATCATGACATTCACTACGAACTGAGGGAAAAATTAACTCCCTTATTCATGCACAGAATCCAATATATCTAGATCAGTAGCTCTCAACCTTGGCTGCACTTTAGAGTCACCAAGAGAGCTTTTAAAACATACTTATGCCCAGGTCCTCTCCCAGAACAATTAAATTAGAATTTCTAGAGGATGGGGGTCCTGAGCATGGTAGTTTTAAAAGCTCCCTAGGTAACTCTCTGGGGCAATGAGGGGTGAGAATCACTGATTGAGATCATATGTAGAGATGCAAATCACAGCAGACTGAAAAGTGTATTGCTGCATCTTCTGAATAATGGTTGTCTTGGAACCTTTGGTCTTTGCATGCAAGCTAGCAATAGCCTGCCTAATTCTATTCTTTGTCCATGTGACACTGGCCCTCATATCTGCCACACTCTGGCATTCAGATCTCCCCTCACCCACCATTCTTCCAGATCTGATGGATTTGAACTTAGGTAAATTCTGATTACTTGTTTATCTCTTAGTAAATCGCTATTAGGGAAAACTGCTAAAAATATCTCTGTGCAAATATTATTGCAATCACTAAATTTAAAAAGGCATGTTCACACTTTGAGAGCTATAATTTGATAGTTATAACACAGAGACAAAAATCCATCTTGAAATTATTTATGGTTACAAATGTACCTACCAGTTGCTCTAAATGTGTTTACAGTTTAACTAGACTAGACCTTTGATTAAGAGAAGAAACCAAGTCATCCCAAAGATTGATTTAATTGACTCAAATGTTTAAACCACATATAATGCATTAATGATTGGATGAATCATCTACATCAGGGTTTCTCAACTTTAGAGCTGGGTATTTCTTTGTTTCGGGGAGGCTGTCCCAGGCTTTGTAGGATGTTTAGCAGCTTCTGCCGGCCTTTCCCCTCATCTCTTGTTGTGACTACCAAGTATTTCTTCAAACAATGCCACTTCCCCTGGGGGTGAAAATGCCTCTGATAAGCACTGATCTAACCCTCAAAGGATTGCAAAGCAAGCTGATAACAGGATAACACAATCTCATAAAAGCATAAAAGGTTCCTAAAAAGATATGGTGCCGGCAAAAATAAGCAGAGAATCTGGCTAATGAGGTGCTCTTTATTTATAGAAGGATAGAGCTGTGGCCTCTGGCACTAAACCAAACTCGCCATGTGGACCATATGTTAACACAGTGAGGTTTAGCACTTTCACTGCTTAGATGAACACAATTAGGCAAGGAAGATCTGCTAATAGGGCTATCAAAAACCTAGAGCAAGACTTTTTTTTTCCTAATAAGGCAATATGAATTTAGTAAGATGTAAACATTTGTGTTGCAAATACGGCACTGACAAGAAAGAAGTCAAAGAAAAGCAGCAACAATCAAACACCCTCTGTTGGGACATTTTTCCTCCATACTGTACTCCTTGATCCATTTGTGACAAAAAATTGCCAAATGACAAGGAGGGATTGGTGATGGTACCTCCCACCTGTCCCTGGTGAAATCAATATAGTCAGTCCTTTTATGTTGTACAGAGAATCTGATTAATAGTGATGCCAGTATACAAACAGGAACTTGAAAAAGAAGCTGCCTTGAAAAAAAAAAAAGAACATGTCCTTCTGAATGTTCTCATCATTTGGGTTTTCTTGGGCTATTTTCTTTGACTTAGAAACAGTAAAATGAAATGACTACTAAGGAGAAATTAGGTTTTCATATAAAATCACAATATTTTATTTTCCTCATCTGTAAAATAGAGACTGTGGACTAAAATCTGAGCTATAAAATCTTAAAGTACTCCCACCTGTTTTTCCCACCAATGGCAGATATTGCTAACCAATCTGAGTCTAGATGAGATTCCAGAATCTTATCCACATTACACTCCAGGCAGCCTCTGTCAATAAATTGCAATGCTGGAAGAGGTGAGCTCAATTTTCCAGGAATATACAATGTTTAGACAAAATTGCATAGACTCAGAACTGAACGAGGGTAATTAAAATGTATGTGTGTCAGATGTTATTAGCCACTCATCAAACATTGGACATCACCAGCTAAATATGGGGATGTATCTATGCTCTGCCAAGGAGATCTAAGTGCACATGATGTGCACTTCCAGGCAGTCTTGTAAAGGTAGCTGATTCAAGGAAGAGGCGCTTTTCTCCTTCCTACTGCCTGCAGTGCAGATGCAATGGCTAGAACTCTTGCGGCTATATTGTACTCTGAGGTGTCCTGGAGGATTAGAAGTATTATACTAAAGAGCCTGTGTTCCTCTTCTCATCCAAAACTACAAAGGAACCTAGAATTTCCTGCTTCTAGACTTGCATATTTTGACAAATAAATTTCTAAACTTCTATTGGATTGTCAGAATAGTCATGACTTTTTTTATGTAGAAAAAGTACGTCATGACTTTTTCTGACAATCCAATGTTATTTCTTTAATTCACTAAACGCAACCACACTGAATCCTAAAATGTAACAGAAAAGGTATCAATTATTCTGGCCACATTGCCTCTCTAATTGCCTCTCTAATGAAATATAGATGAGAAAGGAATGAAAATTGATTGGATGCTTAGCTGTTTTGCAAATATGATCTGACATTTCACATACATTTCTCATTTAATCTTCATAACAAACTTTAAAAAAGAAAGAAAGATTTTATTTAGTAGATGAGGAAACTGAGACTCGGAGAGGTGTAATAGTGAGTCCATAATCTCAAGTTGGTAAAAGGAAGGCATGCATCACAAATTTGGATCTAACATCTATGGTCTTTTCATAATAACGCTGTGACCTCAAAAACACAGACTGAATGCTTTGTAAGTACAAAGCACTGTATAACATTATCTTGAGCATAACAGAGGTAGCAGAAGACACAGTGTGCTCCCTGAAGAAGCTTAAAATTGAGTAAGGTTTAAAAACAAGTGAGAGAGAGGAGGTCGGCAGGGGGCATGTTGGTTAAGGTGCCAGATTTCCAAATGGCCGATCGTGGTTTGAGTCCTAGACCTGGAGGGTTGAAAATCACACCAAACACTTGTGTGTGCATGCCCAAAATCAAGAGGAGAGTGGAAGAGAAGGGACTGCAGTGTGGTCATTCCCTTTGATGGGGGAGGTCAAGTGATTTCTCACTTTCCCTCTCTGTCTCTCTCTGGCAAGTGCACATGCCTTATAGGAAAAAACTTTAAAGGGGGGGGATATGCTGCTCAATGAATCAAACTACGAACAGTAAGGAAGTCACACTAGCAGATATGACCAACAAGTAAATTACACAGATTATAGCTGCTATATAAGCTAAGAAGTAGTGATGATTTTAATGAAAATACTCTTGTCTGTCCTTTCTTTGCCTTCCTCTAACTGATCTTCAGCTGTGTTCTTTCTACATGCCAGACGCACTGCTTAGCACACTTGTCATAAAGGCACATAGCATACATCACTCCCAGGAAGTTCAATACACAGTAAAGGAAATCCTCCACAACAGAATTTATTCCAACTGACACAATGACGCGTAGATAATCTAAAAAGACTGATGATTAAGGAAAACACTGGAAGCAGAACTAAGCACCTACTCAAATCAGACAAAAGCCCTGATGGATTTCTGATGATTTTCCACCCCCATTTCTCAGAGATAATCTTCAGGCTATGAATAAATATCTCATTAATTTCAGAAAAAATACTGGAAACTTGGCTACCCCCAAAGAAGCAGGATCTTTCCAAAAGGGGCTTCCTATTTCGAATAGGCACTCCATCTACAAACATTATGGTAAAATGCAGTTGTAATAAGATCAAAGTAAAGTTATGCTTAGAGTAATGGTCTTTGAAAGCTGTCCCTAACCATATTTTCGCTTATTTTAGGTGGGTGTTTTGTTTTGTTTTAAATTTTCCAGAGGGTGCATGAGAGAGAGAGAAAGAGAGAGAGAACCTTCCTGTGGAGCATAGTCATGGTACAATCCCTTTCCTCCACTTGGCCATTTCATCAGGACCTTGGGCATATATATACCAGGCATCCTCCTCCAGCTGCTGAAGTCAGGACATGAACCATGGTCAGCCTTGTGGGATCCAGCTGCCTCTACATAGTGCTTAACCACTGTGCTAAGATCTGGTCCAGATTTGGGGTTTCAAGAGAGCTTAGCTAGTAACAAGAAATTAGATAAATTTTATATAAGTACTTAAGATTATTAAACTAAGTAGAACCAATTAGATCAGATCTGAGGAAGCTAGATTCCAAGCAAAACTAAAAAATAAACTTTAACCTACCCTGTAACTAGGAAAAAAAAAAACCTTCAAGTGATGGGTGATGCCATGACAGGCAACATGATGAAAAATTCTAGAATTATTTATGGGTTTCTGTACTTAGGAATGGAGTGGGGTCATGAGAGGTGGGTGTAAGACCAACAGGAGAGGCTTTTGATGGATGATGTAGACAGTGATAATAGGGGCAAGGAAGAAGGCTAAAATGTTGGTGAGCAATGACTGGATATTACTACTTACAGCACCATCCTAAAATGCAACAGATAAATATTGGTGACTTTCACTAAACTAGGCAAAAAGTAAAAAAAAAGAAATTACAAAGGATCTACAAACTTCTTTGAAGTTATTTCTTAGTGCTCAGGAGCTGAGGGCTCACTGGAGTCCGTCATGTCATTCTGAGACAGTAGAGTCTCAACACTGTACTCAGGACAGGGTCACCTCAGCTCTTGATTCTCTTTCATCTCTCTAAAGTAGACCTGGAACATCCTGCTCTTATGAAATCAGTGAGCATGGAGAGTGCCATGGAAACCACAAAATCAGCAGTGAGGCTGTGAGCCAAGGTTTCCTGTACCTACCAATCGGTAGAGCTCAGTAATGCTGATGTCCTCTGGATCCACCATGGCATATTCCTTCCTAGGCACCAGATCCAGACCCAGCTGTCTAGAAGACAAATTGCAAAAGTATGAGAGTAAAGTCACCACTATTAGATATATTAAAAGTAATTACTTTTTACTACAATACCTTGAAAATCATTCCCCCCATGATTCTGTTACCCATATTTTTTACCTGGTCTGACTTTCTAGCACAGTTGGGGTAGACGGCATTACAAGGCCAAACACTGGACATTGGACATGACTTGAGGAACAGGAGATGACAGAGACAGGCAATCAAGGAGGGATTGGCTGGCAATTACAATGGATTCTCTTGCCACTGGTGGACCTGGCATTATAGGGTATAGAAGCTCTACACCCTATACACTATTACTAGGGAAACCCTTCTAAAATAGAGTGAGGTGGAAGCTACAGTGAGACACAATCTCATTTTGGAAATTGAAAATGTGGCCTTTAGGATTTGACCTACCACCAAAACACCTAACTAAGCCCAGAGTGAACATGCTTCTAATGTGACTCTGTGGCAACTGGGTGTGGTCTTCATCCATAGCAAGTTCTAGGATCAGTCATTAGGAGGAACTCAGCAAAAGCAGGGAACAGAAGCTGAGGCAGCACAATGCTAGGCCTGGGGTGGCAACATGGTTTAATTTCTTGTGTCAGGTTCCACTGTGGGTAATATGTGGCTAGCTGTGCTAAGAAGTATTCTAAGATTATATCCAGCCTCAGAGGGGAGCAAGTGTGGCAACTGATTTGTGATGTCTTACCATGAACAGAAAAAAGTGAGTCTAACTGTGCTCTGGCCAGTTTCCCTCCAGTGACCTAGGTAACATACTCCTCTCCAGACACAGAACCACTGCACAACACCAATGTCAATGCCACATAATTCTGTTCGTCACCTTAACCATCCACAGCCACATCAAAGTTTCAGGATGTCTATGTAATACATGAAAGCTAAGATACCCACTCTCTTCCAGGCTTGCCTCCATTACTACACTCCAGGTTTCATGTTCAGTTCTGAGAATAACTTATTCTGCATCCCTTTTACACCATCATCACACACAGAAGCCTGATGATGTTGCACTTCCAATTATAAAACCATGGCTTTCTTACTTTTGTATTATTAAAAAAAAAATACTGAATTTCCATGTCCTCCCCCAAATCTCATTAAGGTTTTATCAGTAACGTTTATTAATTTAGCACCTACTTCAAGCTGGACACTGTCCCAGTCACCCAGAGAGACACCTGTTCTTAAGAAGATTAGAACTGTCACCTCCTGGACAGCAGGCATTGTCTCTCAGATGCTAAAACAGTTTCTCCAGTTTAATAAATTATGTTCTCTTTGAGAAACTTTAAAACTATGGCATACCTTCTTTTTAATTTTAGTGGCACTTTCAAATCACAGCAAGCACTGAGATTGGTCTTCAAAATGCCCTTGTGTCCACTTGTTCCATCTTACCAGGGATTCTGAAAGGATCTATTTCCTATTCTTCACCCCTCCCACGCAGGGGGGGACTCCTGCACTAAGATTAGCTCATTTCACACATCTATGTAAGATGTCCTTTGACAATGAGTCAATATTCTTGATGAAAGATTACTTGGCAAAGGGAAGAGGATATATAAACCGTGGACCCTGACTTATCCACACACAGCTCTTTCTATGAGAAGCTGCCTGGATGGTTTAGATAATGATTTGTCCTCTAAACATTCATGTGCTGGAATTTGGTCCCCAGTGTTGACTACTGGTACAATATTTAAGACATGAGACATAGTTGGCAGTGTATGGCTCATGGGGACACTGCCCTCATGAATGGATTACTAATATACAATCTGGCGAGAAGTAGTGAGTTCTCACTCTGCCAGGAAGAGGTTAATTCCTGCAAGAGTAGTTTGTCATAAATGTGTGAGCAGTCCTCAGATCTCGGTCTCTGGGTATATACCTGCTGACTTTTCCATTTCTTTCTGGCATGTTGTGATTCTGGTCACATGCCTTCACAATTTCCAGCCACCATAATCATGAGTCAAATAAACTTCTATTCATTATAAATCATCTAGTCACAGGTATTTTTCTGTTAGTAATACAATAATAGACTAAGAGCCTGCCTTAAGAAGAAAAGATATGTAAGGGCAGCTCGCCTATATCAATACAGAATGAATGAGTCAAGATCAGCTCCAGCTGCAGAGGTCTTCAGCCCCCAAACCTGTCTATCTACAGTAAAGCTCGACTGCTCAACTTCTGCACCCATGGAGTCCTGGCTGTGTGAAGAGTCTTACTTGTTTCTATTTTGTTTTGTTCATTCCTAGGTATATCTTAGGATAAAGCTTCCACTGTTTGAGGTTTCCTAGCTCACAGAACAGAACCAGGGTGGTGCTATACAAGAAAGAGAAATAAAGAAAGGATGAGAGCGACAAGATGAAGAAAAATCACACAGGATATGGACAGCCAGTAGTAGGGCAGGGAGAGTGGTCATTTTATATCAACTCAGTCACTAAGCTACCTTGGGACATCAGGAAGGACAAACTGATTCTCTTTCATATAATCTTAGTAGGAAAGTCACAGGACATTGGAGGACAATAGGGGCAATAGAAACACATAATTTTCATTTTGTCTGAGGCTTCCAGGTGAGAAGAAGTCTTTTGCTAGCCCCATTAGGGAAAAAATAGGTTATCCTCTTCCCAAGCTTCTCACAATCAGAGGGCCTCTCCTCCTCATTCTTCAACAGTCTGAAGTACAACTTGTGATCGAAGACATCCTTAATTTATGTTCATCTAGATATTTATATGCTGACAGATAATTTTGCAGAACTATTAGGTCTAGTTTAATAGGCAAGAGAATTAACTTAATTTGCTTTCCATTTAGCACTATTTAATAAGAAAACAAATGTATACTTAAAGGAATAAGGTAAATGGGTACTCTCTATACTGTGATTTTTAAACAAATGGACAAAGAAATTCAAAGGAAACAGAATTTAAAAAAAAAAAGCTCAGAAAATGCATGAATTTGAGGCTCATCTAAATAAATTATACTACTCATTTTTATGCATTAACATTTAATCAACTTATGGTAAATTAAATCCAGAACTTGCCAAAGTACAAGTTAGAACTTGCATGGTCAGAACCTGATCTGGCATTCAGTCAATTTATAATTAATAGTTTTCCTTCCTCCCCCTTTCCTCCTGCCTTCATCTTCCTTCATGTAGTAGAAAAGTGCTCTACACTTTTTGACAAGCTACCATTATCCAACTGTCTTCCTATAATATTTACAAACTAATCCTTTAAATGTGAACCACAATAATGATTAAGGACTAATATAATTCAGTGAAAATTCAAAGGTTTTTCAAAATTATGAAGAAATATATGAACCACAGGCAGCACAGGTCACACTCAAGCGGTCTTTATAGAAAACCTTCTCACCCAGTAGGACTGGAGCTTAATGCCAGTGGTTGGCAAATTTTATCTGTTTGGAGATTTGCTCTGTCTTTTAAATCAGCTCATTCAAGAGCTGAAAGGGCCCAGGAATGTCTCTAATTCAACTCCAACAAAGGTGGGTTCCAAGAATTTGCTCTGGAGCCTTAAAAAGAGGAGTTCCTAGGGACCAGGAGGTGGCATCATGGTTAAGGCGCTGGACACTCCCACATGGCTGACCAAGGTTCGAGTTCTGAATCTGGTGGCTTGCTCTCTCACTTCCTCTCTCTCTCACTCTCACTCTCTGTCTCTCTCTGGTCAAATTAAAAAATGAATGAATAAATAAAATAAAATGATTATTTTAAAAAAAGTGGAGTTCCTGAGTTAAAGTTCTTGCTGTTACTCTGCATCTTTTCTATTTCTTACAGGAGTGAATCTTGTATAGGTAAATAAACTGGGCTATTATATTCATTATCTGTAAAAAATGAATGACACATCGTATTCCACAAAATATCAGAAGTACTGTAGGTGAGATGGAGGTTTAAAATCCGTAAGTCTGTATGTTTGTATTTGCAGTATGTAATATCTTGAAAGCATCAAATCTGGCTTCTAATAAACTGACTTCCTAAGATTAGGAAAAGCAGCAATCTAGTTTTATATTGTTTTTTCCAAATTAGGAAAGAGGACATTTTTATCCATGCTTCCCTTTGTTATTTTCTCCTTTTCTATCTGTTTTTCTTTTTTTCCGTTGCCCCAAGATTCTTTGAAGGTCCAGATAGCAAATGAGGATTTAGGGAGGGAAAGGAATAGAGGGCATGGCCTTATAGGATATTAAGGAACCATGGCACTGCCTTAAACCCAAGCCTTAAGCAAACCCTAGGATCACACTTGAAGTTAGTTTATTCTGATTTTTCGCTCCTGCATTAACATTCATATGTAGTACAATATCAGCCTTGGTCTGGGTTTTCTGTGATTAGATTTACTATTTAAGTGCTTGGCTGTTATTTTAAATTAGTCACAGTTTTAATTAAAAGTGAATCTCAGTCAAGAAGAGCTTTTGCTGAGTCCTCCCAAGAAGCTCCTCAAAGTGGCTAAAAGGTTCGTAGGGCTAGTCACAACAGTCATGAAAGGCCCCACCAGAGTGCCTGTGGTACGACTCTTACTAGAAGCTGTTACACTGGTTTACACTGGTGACCTATTACCATGATATGAAGGGGTATATATTAAAAGCAAATATATATGCCAAACCTAAAGACTATTTGAGAAGACTCTTTTTGAACAGAAGCCATATCAGATGAAGCCCTGTGAATATTTCATTGCCTGTGAGCATGTGCACCCTGCCAGACCACACAGAGCACTAGAGAACAAATGACTCTCAGTGTCCTTGCCAGTCTAGAGGATGGAGTTCTCAAATCCATCAAGTAAAGTTTACACTAAGCCCCCAAAAGGGGGAATCTGGGAAGACTCCAGATAACTTCTTCCAATGCTGTGATTTCCGCTGCGTTCACCCACCTGAACCTGCTCTGCAATAGTCATTACTCACTCGTTGCCCCAGTCCAGGCGGGCAGTAATGTGGCGTTTCACGTCCTTCATCCGGTCATGGGTAAGATGACCCACCAACACCTGCCGCCGCAGATCCAGGATTTCATTCATGATGTGCCACAGCCGGTGGAAGAGATCGCCTTCGTTTCTCTAAGTAATACACACACAGAGAGACAGAGAGAGAGAGAGAGATTTGGTAGTTAGTCCCCATTCTGATTTGCAGGGTAACCAAAGAGGAGAGGTAAGGGGCAGGCCCTGGTTATTCTCTGTATGCTCCGTAGACAACTTCTCCATTAATACACTAACTCCTCATTTGTCCTCAAATGCACTTACTGCTCTGGACACTTCCACCTCAGTTTCACAGTGCTGCTCTCCCATCAAGAATCCAGCTTCATGCTTTGTGTTCCTGTTTCTTACCACACCTCCACTTCCGGAGCCTGGTGTCTCCAAGCTCTGCACACACTATCTTCCTTTCCACCTCAAGTGCTCCTTTCCTTCATTTCATCCAAATACTACTATCCTACAAGGTTCAGCCTAACTCTTACCCTATAAGGCAATCTTCTCTGACAACTAATGCTCACACAAGTCTTCTCCCTTCTCTGAGCCATGGGTGCATGCAGCTAAAGCCAATGTACTGGAAAAATACCATTCTCTCGCTATTTCCTACATGCTGGTCTGAGTGCTTTATTGAATCTCCCATCAGAAACTGGGTACACAGAGGGCTTTCACTCACTGATGGATTTTCACAGCTATTATCTGATCAATATTTAGACCTTTTAACAGATGCTGCTCCCTTCTTTCTTTAGTACTTTTTAAACAATCATGTAGATTCAAGATACTCCCCCATGAAATTCATTAAGCTATGTGGCCTGGTGGAAAAAAAGATGGGTTAAACTCCTGGCTTCAAATCCTAGACTTATTACCTACTCGTTTTATAGACTTTGAGTACAGGCTTTGTCAACTGTAATACAGGCCGTGGTGTCTTCTTTGTTTTATGGATTAGCAGTAACACCCATGAAGAGAGCAAGCAGTAGAGCACCGAGGCAGTGAGCAGACTGAGAGCTGAACAACCTTGATCTGAATTCCAATTTTGCCATTTACTGGCAGAAAAAGCGTTGGCAGTTATTAGCCTCTCTGTACTCACTTTCTCATCTGTAAAAAGGGTATGATAAATATGTTGTAGGGTAGCTTCAGGATTACTGAGTTAGAATATAAAAATTCTGAAAACCATGCCTAATCCAGAATAAATATCAGCAAGTATTACTGCATGACCCAGAATAAACAATAAGTAATAGTCATTACTACAGTAGTATTGTTACTGTTTGGGGCATGGTCCAGAACAAGAACCATATTTATATTGTTCTTTACCAAAACCAAAAAATACAAATCTTACACAGACACATTAAGGTAAACCTTCTATATGTATTTACCCTTTTCTTTCTTAACCAGAGCTGTGCTTTTACTGTCTATAAACATGATTACTACACTACATGAATAACAGTAAGAAAGTATCAAGGCTCTCATCCATTTAAAGCCCTCTACAGCTCAAAGCTGCCAGAAATATCAGTTCTCTGTGATAAGTAAAGACATTCAGTCATAACATATTTATTTTAAAAAGCAGTGATGTGTTTTCTGCTTTATCAATACCTGGCGACATGAAGAGTTTTCATGTTCTGGGCAGGTCAGACAAATTTGCCAGAGGAACAAGAAGCATTCTTCAGGATGCCATCCTTGATCCTCTGGGATATAAATAATCTTGCTCTCCTCTCAACTCCTAAAGTACTCTGGAGGCTACTCTTGTGTTACCTCCTGCTCTGTCCTCATATCATACACTCCCATACAGGTCATTACAAAGGCGCTGTAACACCATCCTCTCTAATTAACTGCGCACACTCAGAATCTTTGTTTTCCACTGGACTGCACACCCCTCACCACAATGGCCATGTCTGCTTTGTGCAGTCTCAGCAGGTGAAGAGTAAATGAATGAACATCTTGATCTGTAGGTGTTAGTTTTTATGGGCCCAGAGAGGTAGGTTCTGTTTAGGTCTGACAAAAGAACAAGAAAGATCAATAAACGCTTGAGGAAGTCAGTGGTAGGAAGGAACAGTCACAAAAATTACAAGAGGAAGTTATAACTTAAGTCAAATCTCACGCAGCAGAGAGAGCCAGCACCCTCTTGAACTGACAAGAGGAAAGGCCTCTGCCTGCTCTTGGGCAGGCATTCTGCAGCTGTTTAGTAGGATGATTTTCAGTGATGTCATCTTTAGTACTAGAACTTAAGAGAACACTAAAAAAAGAAGGAAGTGGAACCCTTGATAAAAATGAAACCAACTGGTCAGCGATCCCTTTAGGGAAGAAAAAACAGGAGGGGTAACAGGAATAATGACAACTGTAGGGCTGGCCAAAAAACCTGCCCTATTAATGTAAGAAAAAAAGTATACCTCTGGGTAGGCACATACTCATAAAATTATGACCCTTTCAAAATTGGATTTTAAGGGGCCAGCAAGTGGTATGGTAGTTAAAGGCACTGGACTTCTACATGGCCTACTATGGTTCAAGTTCCGTACCTGGCAGCTTGCTTTCTTACTTTCTCTCTCTCTCTCCCTCCCTCCCTCTCTCCCTCCCTCCCTCCCGCTCTCTCTCTGTCCCTCTCTGGTCAGATTAAAATAAATAAATAAATAAAGTTAAATACAAAAACCAAACAAAAACTCCTCCCATAAAAAAAATTGGATTTTAAAAAAATGGGTAGTTATCAAGGCTATTCAGAAATATAAAAAGTGCTTTTGATAGCATATTAATGTTTAAAAAAAGGAAAAATTAATTAATAAAAAAACTAATAAAAAAAAAAGTAGGGACAGCCCATGGACTGGTGGTTATGGAGGCTGGATCCCACATGGTCAGCTGTGCAATTTGAGTCCTGGACCTAAATGGCCTGAAAAACAACCCAGGGCCTATGTGTGTGTGTGTGTGTGTGTGTGTGTGTGTGTGCGCACGCCCAAAATCCTGAAAGGAGAGGGAGAGGGAGAGAGAAGAGAGACGAGAGAAGAGAGACGAGAGAAGAGAGAAGAGAGAAAAGAGGGATGGCAGCATGACCGTTCCCCATGAGTTACCATTTCTCTCTCTCTCACTCTCTCTCACAGACACCCCACACACACACACACATACACACACAGGAGCACATATATCCTCTGGCAAAATTTTAAAAATAAATAAATAAGGGACCAGCAGATGACATAATAGTTACGTCACTGAACTCCCATATCGATGACTGTGGTTCAAACCCCGGACCCAGCAGCTTAAACTCATGGCGGACAAGTGTGTGTGCGTAACCAAGATCTTGAGAGAAGAATGGAGAAGGAATTGTGGTGTGGCTATCCCCCTAGGGGGTGATTTCTCACTTTCTGTCTCTCTCCTTCTGGCAAGAGCACATACCCTATAGCAAAAACCTCTCTTCAGAAAATAAATAAATAAATAAACAAACAATAGGTAGAGTCCAATATTAAATACTTGGAATAATGCAATATATAGACATTCTTACACTATACCAAAAAGTGCAAAAACTTATTAACATGAAAAGCTCAGGTTTTGGCACCAGAAGACCTAGAGTTAGATTCAGCCTTTACTACTTAGTGTGAGATCCTAGATGAATCATCTTTGCTAAGATTCAACAATAAAAACCACTTACCAAGGCAGAGATGCAAAATATGAAAGTACTAAGGAGAGAGAGCTGCTGCATTGCTCCTAAACTTTTTGTGGTTATACATTAATGATACATTATTAAGTAATATTTTAAAGGGCTTTAGGCCCTCAATAATGTTAATTCAAAGAATTACTAGTACTTTTCAAGTATTTACCATGTGTTTTTAAGCTAAGTGTTTGACATATATTATTATCTCACATATTGTTTATAATTTACAAAATACTATTGGCCTCATTAAATATGTTTCAATGCAGGCCCAAGCTGATACTGTAGTTGGTAGCAAGCCTGAACTAGAGTGCTGAAGACACATGGCTGTCTGCAAGTTTAGACCCCTGGGTTGGCCTAAAAACATTTGAATGGGGAACCAGCAGTTAGCATAATGGCTATGTCGCTGGACTCCCACGTAGTCGACCGCGGTTCACGTCCCGGACCTGGTGGCTTAAAACTCACGCCGGGCGTGTGTGTGTGCATGCCCAAGATCCCGAGAGGAGAATAGAGGAGAAGGGATTGTGGCGTGACCATCCCCCCTGGGGGGTGATTTCTCACTTTCTGTCTCTATGTCTCTCTGTCCGTCTAGCTAGCGCACGTGCCCTATAGTGAAAACTTCTCAAAAAACAAACAAACAAACAAAAAAACCCAAAACATGTTGAATGCATGGACACCTATTATTCTGAAGAGCTAGGAGGCTGGAAAAGGGTGATAGTGGTTTGATGAGACTCTGTGAAAGGGGGTTTGAAGGTGCTTCTGTCACTGACCTCTCATGGACATACATGAGCTCTGTATTATGAATAAAATAAACTTAAACAAAAACTCAAATGGAGAAGCTAGATGCCTTCAAACTGTTAGAAAAGAACACATATGAAATCCTAGATACATTCATGTATGATGAACCTGAACCAAAATATTTAGCATAAAACACGTCAGGAAAAGAGAAGCCAAAATGTCCAACCTGGCTAAGTTAGCCTCATTCTCCATGTCAGAAATCTGATAGCTCCAGGTTAAATTTTACATTTGTGCCTAATATAACTATCATTCCAGTATCCATGGAAACTGAGATAACTCTACTTTTCCCATTACTTTGGATGCAAGTAGAAGAGGTTATTTCTAGAGTTTACAACACACGGTTTTTCAAACCAACCAAGTCTGTCCCCAGAATAGATGCTTACTACTTCAAAAGCAGGTAAAAATAGCTGGATAAGGCAGAATCAAGAGGAAATCCAACTTTGTTCTCCACTAGTAGCTAGATAAAAGAAAATACTCTGGTGCTCTAGCTAAACCAATGGATAACTCTTAAACTGCCATTAATTTTAAAACTCTCTTATATCGTCAGTGTTTAGGATGCAGTGTTCGAACATTTCAGAGAGTTATTCCTTCCATGTTTCTGTCAAGCACAACGTTAACTTTAAGTGAAACAATACTTGGTTTTGTATTCTTTCCAACATATTTTTATAATGGCTATGTCGCTGGACTCCCACGTAGTCGACCGCGGTTCACGTCCCGGACCTGGTGGCTTAAAACTCACGCCGGGCGTGTGTGTGTGCATGCCCAAGATCCCGAGAGGAGAATAGAGGAGAAGGGATTGTGGCGTGACCATCCCCCCTGGGGGGTGATTTCTCACTTTCTGTCTCTATGTCTCTCTGTCCGTCTAGCTAGCGCACGTGCCCTATAGTGAAAACTTCTCAAAAAACAAACAAACAAACAAAAAAACCCAAAACATGTTGAATGCATGGACACCTATTATTCTGAAGAGCTAGGAGGCTGGAAAAGGGTGATAGTGGTTTGATGAGACTCTGTGAAAGGGGGTTTGAAGGTGCTTCTGTCACTGACCTCTCATGGACATACATGAGCTCTGTATTATGAATAAAATAAACTTAAACAAAAACTCAAATGGAGAAGCTAGATGCCTTCAAACTGTTAGAAAAGAACACATATGAAATCCTAGATACATTCATGTATGATGAACCTGAACCAAAATATTTAGCATAAAACACGTCAGGAAAAGAGAAGCCAAAATGTCCAACCTGGCTAAGTTAGCCTCATTCTCCATGTCAGAAATCTGATAGCTCCAGGTTAAATTTTACATTTGTGCCTAATATAACTATCATTCCAGTATCCATGGAAACTGAGATAACTCTACTTTTCCCATTACTTTGGATGCAAGTAGAAGAGGTTATTTCTAGAGTTTACAACACACGGTTTTTCAAACCAACCAAGTCTGTCCCCAGAATAGATGCTTACTACTTCAAAAGCAGGTAAAAATAGCTGGATAAGGCAGAATCAAGAGGAAATCCAACTTTGTTCTCCACTAGTAGCTAGATAAAAGAAAATACTCTGGTGCTCTAGCTAAACCAATGGATAACTCTTAAACTGCCATTAATTTTAAAACTCTCTTATATCGTCAGTGTTTAGGATGCAGTGTTCGAACATTTCAGAGAGTTATTCCTTCCATGTTTCTGTCAAGCACAACGTTAACTTTAAGTGAAACAATACTTGGTTTTGTATTCTTTCCAACATATTTTTGAAAAATAAATAAGTCTAAACAGGTGATCTGTATTTCCCTTGCTCCCCTCACAGAGGCCTTGTGGTCAGTTATCGGGTCTTTGTATTTACAAAGCCTACCGCTCTGGGATTTCATCTAAGATTGCCTTATAGATTTTCACAGTGAGACCTAAGCCACCAGCTCCAGGAGGGTTTGGTGAGAAAACTACAACATCAAAGGATTCTTGTTAGTGACTTTTTCAGATTTTTCTTTCTTCACTATCCTATTAGGATATTGCATTTTAGATGTACCAGACAATACAAACTGCTATTCTCTGACAGTGTCCCTCATTCATTTGAATTTTCTCTTTGACAGGCTGTTTCAAATCATTTTGTCAGGATAAGTACACCTTTGTAGTTTGAATGCATCCTTTCAAATGATTAAGCTGTCCTATAAATTTCTTTGAAAATAAAAGAAGGAATAGCCTATATCTTCCCCAACACTTCACCACCCCCAGACTCCTGCTTATATAGTAGTCTGGAGTGAGAGCAGGAGATTCAAGTCAGGATCTGAGCTAAGGGCAGCAACTCTGACTGCGTGGTTTGGAGCAAGCACTTCACTTTCTGTGCCTCCCTTTTCTCAGTTATGAGCTGGAGATGATAACAGTTATGACTGCCTTCCAGGACTGTAAGGATTTAATGAAATACTGCATATAGAGCACTTCCTGTGGCCTTTGCCCTGTTATAATGATCAATAATGTAATTAATTATAAGAAGTAAGTACACACACAGAGATCTTTGAAAAGTTCACGAAAAAATGCTTATTATGAAAAAAGCTACACATGGATTTCAAAAATTTTTGCACCAAAATAAACTTATACTTTATTTCCATTCTCCCATGAACTTTTTAAAGTGTTCCAGACATACATGTCCACATCCTTCCCCAAAAACACCAATCTGGGTGGCCTAATAGGTGGCTTAGTGGTTAAGGCACTGGATTCCCACATGGCCAACCATGGTTCAAATTCCAGATCTGGCAGCTTGAAAATTACGCAGGATGGGGCTGGCAGGTGGTGTGGTGGTTAGGGGCACTGTACTCCCATGTGGCCAACGGCGGTTCAAGTCCTGGAACTGGCGGCTTTCTCTCTTTCGTTCTCTCACTCTGTCCTTCATTGGTAAATTAAAATAAGCAAATAAATAAAGATAAATAATTCTAAAGAAAGAGAGAGAGAGAGAGAGAAATCAATCATGCTAGATGCATGTGTGTACATATCCAAAATCCCAGGAGGAGAATAGAGAAGAAGGGACTGGCGTGGCCATCTCCCTAGGGGATGATTTCTTACTTTCTCTCTTACTGTCTCTCTTAAGTGAGCACATGCACCCTATGGTAAAAGCCTAAAACAAAATAAACATTGATCTTTTTATTTTTCCAAGAAACAT